GGCCTCCCTGTCCCTCATGATCTCCCGGAGTTCATGCAAATTCAGGGTCCTCTACTAAGCTCATGTGGTGGAATTAACTTCCTTGCACCTACAGAACTCACTGGTTTTCCAAGGCCAGTGGATAAGGGACTCCAGGTCTGTGACTACCAGACCCTCTTCTAAAGGGTCACCTGAATAGGTCCTGCCCACCCGGGGATAATCTCCATTTGGCTTAAAGTCAACTGATTAGGAAGCTTAATTACATCTGCAGAACTCCATCACCTTTACTATATACCTTTGTGCCATGACCACAGGAGGGATAGCCCATCATATCCACAAACCCTGCCTACACTGAACGGAAGGGAATTATTCAGGGTTTGTATACTGAGGGGTTGGAATCTTGAGAGCCATTTAGAATTCGGGTTATCATAGGTTGGTTCTATTGCTGTCACTGCTTTAACTCAGCACAGTGAATTGTTTAACCCAGGTCACATGTCCATCAGGAGGGTAGAGCTGGGATTCAATTCTAGTCTGTCTTGGGAGTATGAGTTTTCTCTCTGCCTCCCGGACCTCTCAATACTTGTGACAGGGGAGAGGGGACCCCCCTGCCCAGACCTCATAGACAGGCGCAGAAGTGCCTGGAACCCACAAAAGGAGCAAGCTGAGGATCAGCGACCAGGGCCTCCTTCCCTCCCTCCTTCCCTCGCTTCTTCTTTTCCTCTCTCTTCTCTTTCCTCCTTTTCCATTGAACTTGGAAAATACCTGTGCTGAGTCTTGAATGGGGCATAAAAACAAAGCAGATGTCTGCCTTCATGGAACTAATAAAAGAGATAGAAAGTAGATACATTCACAAATAAAGTAGTACCATTTGTTACCAGGTCTGATCTGCTATGGGCTTCCCCGGTGGCTCAGTCCTAAAGAGTCCTCCTTCAGTGCAGTAGACATAGGATACACGGGTTTGATCCCTGGATCAGAGAGATCCTGTGGAGGAGGGCATGGCAATCCACTCCGGTATTCTTGCCTGGAGAATCCCATGGACAGAGGAGCCTTGTGGGCAACAGTCCATGGGGTCGCAAAGAGTTGGACACGACTGATGTCCTTTAGTGTGCACACACACGGGGCTGCTATGGGAGAGTGTGATGGTGACTTGACATCCACCGTGGTCATCAGGGAAGACCTCTCTGAGGAAGTGGCATTTGCACCAGAACCTGAAAGATGATCACAGAAAATGGGTGGAGGAAGGGCATTTTGTCAGAAAGCTTGGCACGTGCAAAGGCCCTGAGGTGGGAACTGAAAGCAGGCCAGTGTGGCTGGCTGGGGTGTCCCGGCTGAGGTGCTAGTGAATGAGAAGGGAAGTTTGGCGGATCTCCAGCCTTTTAGTTCTGAACATCAGGTCCAGGGGCTGCTGGGATGGGTGGCCCAGCTCAGGGTCAAGGCCAAGATCTGAGATGAGTGAAGTCGACGTGAATTGGGAGGAGACCAGGGCCACGTCATCAGGCATCCTGGGCTGTGCCTGGACCCCTGGTGGCATCAGCTGCTCAACTTATGAGCAGGGAGGTGCCCACTAAATGGCTGGCCAGGCCAGCTTAGAGGGCCAGGACAGCTCCAGGCCCTCCAATTTGTTCTTATGGGTGAGAACATATGTGACCTGATTCACCCTTTGTTCCTATGAAAATGATAAATCAATCATCATAAATGCTGTGAAGCACGGATCCGTGTAGCAATGTGCCTGAATCTCACAAAATGATGTTGAGTGAAAGAAGGCAAACCCCAGAGGGAACATGCTGAACGATCCCTCCTTCCGTGTGAAGGTCAAGAGCAGACAGGGCTAATCTGTGATAACAGAATTCACAGGGCAGGACGGGCCCCTGGGAGGCTGGCCATTCCTGTGTGCTGACCCAAGGGCTGGACATATAGGTGTGTTTTCAGTTTGTGAAAGTGCAGTGCTAGTCACTTCAGTGTATGTCTGTGACACTTTAACACAACGTTCACCGCAACTAAATCCATTCACTCGAAGTCACCTGTGTAGTGCTCCTGCCTGGAATGTTTAGTATGAATCTAATTGTGGGAAACAATGAGGTGACTCCAAAGTAAGGGACTTCCCCTCAATGCTGATACTGCAAGAAACAAAAGGTCTGGAGAACCATGCTAAATTAAGGGAGACTAAAGTGACGTGACCACTGAGCAGAATGCATGACCCTGGATAGAAAAAGGACTTGTAAAGACACGGGGACACCTGGGGTAACTTGAATGTGGGCTGCAAGTTGGATGATACAGAGCTGAGTTTCTGGGTGGGAAGCTGGAGTCATGGCTGTGTGGGAGGATGTCTTCATTCTTAGGAGAGTCATGCTGAAATCCTTAGGACTGAAATGGACCAATGTCTCAATAAAAGGGAAAGAGAGGGAGATAAGGAGGGAAACACACCACAAGTGGGGTAAAACATTAACAACTGGTGTGTGTAAGTGAAAAGGAGGTGAACACAAACTGAGCTATTCTTGCACATCTTCTGTAGGATTGAAATTTTCTAAACTAAAAATTTGGGAAATAAAATAATGAAGGAAGTCATCCTTCTCTTTTTCAAAAAGAGTTTCAAAAAGTTATGGCTGTGTGTCCCATGCCTGCTAGGCTTTTAATATGTATTATAGATAATCTCATGGGTCAGGTAGGCCTTTATAAGGAATAAAAAAAAATCCAACCAAATATTTGTTGGGCTATAGAACTGAATAATCCAAGGCCTTCTAACTTCAGGTCAGGCTCGATCCAGGACCTATTCTTGCAGGACCTCTATGTCTAGGCTCTGCTTCTTGTAGTTCGGCCTCATTTTCAGACTCACTTTCCCTTCCTGAGCATTAGCTGGCTGCCAGGACCAATCAGGAAGAGAATAAATTTCTCCAAATGGAGGCAAGAGAGGATGCTTGGACTCCTCCCCGAAGTGGTTTCCACACTTGCATGTAATCCGTGAGGCAGATGGTCTTACCCGCTGTGTACATCTCATGACTCAGAGAGATTATGCAATTTGTCCAAGGTCTCACCACAAGGACAGGAAGGATGGGATTTGAATTTGGGTCTGCCTGTCCCCAAAGCCTACACTCCCCTTGTGTTTATACCACCACTTCTCTTTCTACAAAAGCTCTGGAGAAAATGCAGGACAAAGAGCACCCAGACTCCACTCCAACACCATCATTTTGTATATTCTCTTCTAATCTTTATCTCCCATGGCTTTTTTTTTAAATACAGAAAACATATTGAAATTAGATGTTGATATGAGAATCTGTGAAGACCTCTGAGCTACCTGGACACCCTCCACGAGGGAGGTGGAGGCTGGGTGTTCCAGCCTGAATGTGAGGCTGGCTCTTTCCAACGCAGGGGTCCAGATCCACCTTTACTGTTTGATAAACCGCATCTGTCAGGCAACCGACACTTGTGTGACAATGTTAGTTGCTCAGTTGTGTCCAACTCTCTGTGACCCCATGGACTGTAGCCCACCAGGCTCCTCTGTCCATCGGATTTCCCAGGCAAGAACACTAGAGTAGGTAGAAAAACAATGATGGCGAATTGATGGGAAGCCCTGCGTGTCCTGACTTGCTCATGTCGGCAGTCACAGCCCTCCTAAAAGTGGACATTGCAACCTCCCCCACCACCCCCATCTTTCAGAGGAGGAGACTGAGGCTCTGAAGGAGAAATGACTGGCTGGGTCACCATCTAGCAGGTGCCTTGTGACAACATACCACACATTATGGCCTTGAACTTCCCACCAGGCCTTCTTCAAATAATCCTGGAAGCGTCCTGCCTGCTTCACAGAGAGCCCCGAGGTTTTCAGCACTGATTCCCCTGTGGGTGATAAGAACTTGAATCAAAGGCCCCTCTGTCATTGGAGAAAGACCTCCAGCTTTGCTTTGGCCCAGGTACTTTCTGTCCAGGGCTGGAATCCGTGCTAATAAAAGCAAGTGTCCTTTTACAGTGCTTTCTGTAAATCTGGTAGTGACCTTTAATAAAAATTTATGACCCTAATAATCCTGTTCTACACAATCTGGTCCAGTCACCGCTCACTGGCCAGTTATCTGCAAACCTTTCAAATGGAGTGGCTGTGCCTAGGCCCGCACCGGGGGTCCTGTTCCAAATGAGGGGAATGGCATGGAGAATGATTAATCCAAACTAGTCTGTGCTGAGCGCAGAGCTGTTTTCCTGACACAGGCCGTTGGGCCGAGAATCCTAGAAAGAGCAGCAGGAACTGAAGACACTGGAGAATTTTCGGAGAGCCCATTAGACCCGCCGCCAATCGAGCTCAGCCCCACCTGCCTGGCCTTTCCCCCGGCAACCTTCTCTTCCTCCGCGTCATCAGAGGAAGGAGCCAAAAATAGAGTGGGCTCCATCCATACCCAGCTGTTGTGGAAAAAATCCAGGGGCCTCTCCTGAACTCATGAATCTGTCCACACTTTGTTTATGGGGTTGGAGAGTGGAGTGCCAGGGGTTTGAGAAAACCTGGGCAGATGTGGGCTCTCAGCATCTTGTTGCGTGTGATTTAACCAGTGGGGGCGCTTATGATCTCCAAGGAAAGGTTGCAGGCCCCAAACACCTTGTCGAATGTTTGCTTGGCTGTCATGTTGCATAAGATCGTACTGCTTTCACTCTGAGGCTCTCTGACAGGCAAATACAGACATTTGTGCAAATAGTACAATTGTACCTCAAGGCCCCTACCCACAGTGCATACTGCAGAGGTCCCAGCAACTTGGGCTCCATTACTTGGGGTTCGTGAGAAAGATACATCCTGGGTACTTGGAGTGGGGGTGTTTTTCCTACAAGAGAAAGGCCCATCCAGTACCACCAGTGCCCTGTTAACCAAGCAGGCGAGTGCAGTCACCATCTTATCCTTTACTAGGCAGCTTCAGAGCACCCTCGCCAGTTTCGGGCATTTGTAAGTCCTGGGCACCTGTTTGTCTCAAGCTCTCCCTCTCTTTTGTGGGGGAGGGAGCGAGGATTCTGGAATCCCAGACCGTCCCAGCAAAGATGGGCCCGGCCACTGCTAGGCTCCTGCTGCTCGGCCAGAGTCACTGCCTCACAGGGCATGAGCTGCGTGGCTGGGAGACATCAGTTGCTTGTATACTCGTTTCCAGTATTGGACTTAATTCCTTCTTGCTGCAGTCTCTACCCGCCTGTCCTACTTCTGTTCTCTGAAGTAGCTTAGAAAGCTCCAGACCCTCTTCCACACAAGACTCCTTCAGATACTTAGAAACTTGGGCTTCCCTGCTGGCTCAAATGGTAAAGAATCCACCTACAATGCAGGAGATGTGGGTTCGGTCCCTGGGTCAGGACGATCCCCTGGAGGAGGAAATGGCAACCCACTCCAGTATTCTTGCCTGGAGAATGCCATGGACAGAGGAGCTTGGCGGGCTACAGTCCATGGGATTGCAAAGAGTCGGACACAACTGAGGGACTAACATATCAGGACTTAGCTTCTCCAGGGTAAACTTTCCTGATTTGTTATTTTTACTTTGTTCTTTGAGTTAGACAATTTTCAGATGCCTCCTCAGCCCTGCAGCCCCAGATTGCCATCTCAGAAATTTCCCTCTTCAAGGGAATCGAATCTCACACTCCAGCTGAGGCTGGCTTAGTCCAAAGAGAGGGCACCATCACCTCCCCTGATTAGATACTCTGCCTCTTTTAATGCAACCAAATGTTGTTTGGCTTTTTCACTTTACAGCAACCACATCACACTGTTAGCTTGTATTAACTGTTAGGTATGCCTCTCACACCTTTCTCACATAAACTACTACCGAGCAAGTGCCCCCGCTGATCTGTACTTAATTCTGAGTCCAGACGCCTGTCTTTCATCTACCCTTGAGTATCATTCTCTGACTGTCTGGACCAGGAATTTTGCCTTTGGGGATAATTTTGGCTCTCGAATCTTTTACGATGTGAATTAGCCATCCCTCCCAACTGGGCTGACCTAAGCCAACCCTCAAGAATTTATTGAGCACCTACTGAGCACTCAGGGTCAGAGTTAGAGGATACAAGTGTGACTCACTTCCCTGTCTCTCGGGGGGTTTACAGCCCAGTTGTAAAATGAGGACTCATCTCCAGGGCACAGAGGTGAGTGAAAACCAAGGACAAAGTTGCAAAGCGGTCTCCCAGGGAGCCCTTGTTCAGCAAGGCTCGCCCTCATTACGACTGCCCGGGAGCTTGCCAGAAGCACAGACACATAGACCTACCCAGCTCAGGGACCCAGAGCCTGGAGGAGGCGCCCTGCCTCCTATTTGTAACTCCTCAAAGTTAAAATCCGCGGCTTAAAAGGCTGAAGGAAGTGAGCCCAGGACCCAGGGATGGGGAGGCGTTGGGAAGTGAGGGGAAACGAGGGGCAGGGAGAAGCAGTAGGGCCCTCTAGATGCCCAATAAAATGGGGCATGGGCTCCAGGTCCAGAGGGGCTGGGCAGGGTGGAGGAGGTCAGCTGCAGACACGGCCAGCCCTGCCCTGCTTATTAGCAAATTCTCGGAGCACCTCTGCCATCCCCACTAAAGACGCTGGGATTGAAATGCCATCATTGTCTTGCCTGGGGTCCAAAACTGAGTCTACTTTGGGACAAGAAGAGATTAAAGCATTTGGCAAATAGCACCACACCCTGGCTTCCTGTAGGTCCCCTCTTCCTGATTCCAAAAAGTGGGCCAGTTCCCCCTGTCATATTCTTAGTATCTCAGTTGTTGGCTATCCACCTCCTGGGGCTGAATTTAGCTTTTACAAGCAGTGGGAATCAGGATCCGGCCCTGGAACACCCGAGGGTCAGTTTAAAGTGATCTGGCAGATCCTGTGTGATTTAATTGCTCCATGTTAGCATTAATGTCCTTATTAGTTTTGATAATCTTGGTAGAGCCTTAGCACTTCACTTCTGAAGCATGTGGCAGTTAGAGCATGAATCGGGATTAGATCAGTCTGCATTTGAATCCCAACTCTGCAGTTCTCAGTCTGTGTGATCTTGGCCTAGTCACTTAAACTCTCTGAACTTCCACCCAATGGTGATAACAAGAAGACCTATAGTTCAAGTTTGTCATGGAGATCAAACGCACAGGAGCCTGAACTTGACCCTAAAGTGTGGGCATTAGGGGGCTGCTCTGAGACCCCAGAGTCACTCTCCCACCTACCTTACCCGCTTGCTGCACCTGTCTGCCCAAGGTCACATGTCCTAGGAAGCCGGAAGCCAGGGTGGGGCCCCAACAGCTAGCAGGAGGGCCTGTGAGTCCCCCCCGCCCCACCCCTGCCCACCCCCACACTTTCTATCCTAGTTCAGCTATTTCTTTTTTAAAATGAAGCAGCAGCCCTTGATTTTGAAAATAGATCACTCAGAGTTCTCCTCCCTCTAATTAGGTTGTCTCACTTGTTTGTTTTGCATAGTGAGGAAGGGAGCTTGGAATTTACCCAGAGGACTGGAGAGAGTCCTGAGCTGAGAGGTTTTTTTTGGCCACCAATCGTGTCTGCCCATTTCTCTATCTCGTTCTTTCTGAATGTAGCTCCTGTTCAGAGCATGCTGGATCTCAGATCCAAGGATTTGGGTTCGAATGGAGGCTTTAACAAGGAGCTGCCCTCTCCAGGCCTCATTCCCACATCTGTAGAGTGGGCTCACCAGAAGCTCGGAGGCTCTTTGTGAAGAACTGAGGACGGGGGTCCAGGAAAGTCCCTGGCCAGTGCTCGCCAAGTGAGCATTCAGGTGGCGCTTTGGCGCTTTGACGGCTCTTCAGGATATGGAATGCAGCCCAGGTTGACATGCTAAGGCAGGAAACTCAGAAAGACCGTGCTTAAAGCTGTCGTTCCCTGCTGGCTTGCTGGGGGATTTATACTAAAGAAATGTTGCCCTTAGAACCGTTCAGGCTCCCCTGTTCCTGGCGATGTCTGGGAGTCCCCCAGGGCACCGTGTTGTGGTGCTGCAGAGAACGGACCGCTCTGAATCCGAGAGGCCCAGGCTTAGCGCCCCAACTGCCAACCAGCTGGGGCACCTGGCCCGTGCCTTCATCCGTCGGTCTCCGCTTCCCAGTCTACAACATCGGGAGCCTGAATCCTCTAGGTCCATTGCCTATAGGACTTCTGGATGGTGCCCAGCAAGGAGCAGTGTCAGGGGCACCACCTCTGAGAGGGCCCTGCCCAGCCTCTGCGTTTTCCAGATGGGGAAACTGAGGAGGGAAGGTCTGTTCAAGGTCACACGGCCCATCAGGGGCCTTGCTGGGTCTCCTGAATCTCTGGGGCTCCATCTTGCTGGAGCCCCAGTGAGGGTGGAAACGCTGCCTGGATGCTCACAGGAGTCTAAAGAGCGGGGGGAGAAATAGTCCTTGTTGCCTGGTAACCCCAGTAAAGTGGGAAGCCTGGAAAACATCAGGTGGTGGAATTTTAAAGCTCAGAGAGCAGTGTGGGCAGAACTCCGTGTTCTCCAAGGGGTGAGACCTTCTCCTCCCAGCCAGCCATACCCGCCAGGGTCTGGAGAAGAGCCGGTCCGGGGTACCGCCCGTGTCACTCAGCCACACGTGGGTTCTCCCGGGGCGTGAGATTAAGCACACGTGGGGGCTGCACAGGCCGGGGGGTGAGTGCGAGAAAGATGGCCGGGGCTTCCCTGGGGAGCTGGACCTGTCCATCCATCCGTCCATTCCCTCTCTCCTCCTCTGGGCTTCCAGCTGGGTACCATGTAGGGTACCCAGAGGATGAGATGGTGGGATGGCATCACTGATTCGATGGACATGAGTTCAAGCAAGCTCAGGGAGATGGTTAAGGACAGGGAAGGCTGGTGTGCTGCGGTCCGTGGGGTCTTAAAGAGTCGGACACAACTGAGCAACCGAGCTGAACTGACCATGTAGGGAGCAGACAGTGGAGACCATCGGATCTGCCCAGAGTCCCTTCATCTGGGGAGTCAGACGTACATGTGGAAATTCCTAGTGAACAGCAAGAGGTCACAGGGACTGGAAGCCGGTGAGAGCCAAGCATCACCAATGATGTCCTGGGAGGGCTTCCTGCAAGAGGCGGCTGCTGGAGAGCTCTACCTCTCCCCAGCAGAGTTTTGGGCAGGGGGAGGAGAGGAGAGGGAATCTGTGACCCACCAAACCCCTCAGGCACTCCTATGTGAGTGTGTTTGGCCAGCGGCCAGGGACCCTTTAAACTAGATTCCACTCCCACTCTGCCACTGGCTTCAAGTCAGAAGCAAGTCCTTGAATGTATCGGACTCTTGCTTCTTCTATGAAATGGTTAGTGGGGACCGTTCAAGAGGCTCTTAGAAGTTTCTTCCATCCTAAAGAATGTCCTCTAGGTTTTCCTGACAATGAGGACAGAAGCGGACATTTCCCCTGGTGGGTCAGAAGGAGCCCTTGGTCTGTTCTTCTTTCTGTGGTGGGTTTCTGTCTACCTCTCCCCAGGCTGCGGTGGGTGGACCCCCTAAGCAAGAGATGACCCCATGCCTGTCACTCCTTCAGGAGCTTAAGATGTCAGGAGGGGATACGGAACCTGAATTTTAGGAAGATCTTAACCTTTGGCGGGTCCTCTGTGCAAATTCAAAAGTGGCTTCAGCCACATTTTCCTGCATCTTTGCTTTCATTCACTCATCCAGACAATATATACTGAAGCCCTACTATGTGCCAGGCACTGGGGATGTGCTAGGGACAAAACAATGAGCAAAACCAGATGAGGTTCCCTGGGAGGGGAGGGTGCAGCCGGGAGACAGACATTAGTCTGGGAATCAGTCAGGGAATCACAGAGCTCTGTGTGAAGTTCTGTCTGTGATGAGAGATGCCTGCATGCCATGTACCGGCCTAGGGGAGGACTGTAGGGGTGCGGGTGAGCAGTGTGGTCAGGGGAGGCTTCACTGAGGAAGTGATGCTGAACCAAGACCTGCAGGGGGAGGGTGGGCTAGTCAGGCTAAGGGGAGAATGAAGGGGCAGGTCGGCCTGTACGAAGGGCCTGTGGCTGGAACTGAGACAGAGGATGGGGTGTTGCAGGCTGCAATGGGTGGGCTGGGCCTGGGGTTGGCAGGCCCAAGTGGAGTTTATTGTTCATCCCTAAGGCAAAGGGAAGCTTTGCAGGTGTTTGGAGCTGGGGAGAA